CTGGGGTTTTTAAATAAATGATAGAAATAAAATATCAATTCGGATATACAAATATATATACAAATACAAATCTCTATAAATATTTAATTTAAATAAATATAAGGAAAAGAAATCTATAATACAGAAAATACAGATCTCTTATTATATTAGAAGGTATTCTCTCTAATATATATAATATCTATGAATAAAATAAATTAAAATGTCCATATGAATATCATTATAATTTTGAAAAATAATATTACTTCCTACATTTTAAATCTGGTTCCAATAAAGGGGTGTCCTTGGTTTTCATTTGGTTAGAGGCAGGAGTTGTATTTTAAATAATATAAGTAATATAGAAATGTGGATCTTAAGATAGAAATATGTAATAAATATATAAAGAGAAATTGCTAAAATATGAATATAAATTTACATATAAATATGTGTAAGTAATATGAAGAGTTGTAGTGTAGAATATAAATAACATTATATGGCAATATAAATTATAAATGGGAATATAAATATAAAAATATGTAAATATAGCTTAAAAGAAAGGGAATGTTTTGGCTTTTATTTAAGTAGAGGCAGGGGTTTTATTTTGAATATTGTAAGTGTTCCAGAAGTAAAAATCCTGACGCAGAAATGTTTAATCAATATAAAAAATATGAATAAAAATATATAAAAATTCATAAATAACTACTCGCATCAGATGTATTATAGAATACAAATTTATTTATAACTTGACATTGGTATAGATAAATGTATAAGTAAGCAATATACATTAATATGCATTATAAATACAAATATGAATATAAAAATTGAATATAAGGATAAAATCTATTTAAATATTGTTTGCAACAAAGGCTTGGGGGTTTTTTTATTCCTATTGTGTTAGAGGCAGGGTTTTTATTTTAAATAATATGAATGTAGATATTATTGTTATTTATTTCTAAATATGGAGATATACAATCGAGATATAAATATATATATAAAAACACAAAATATAAAGAAATACAAATAATAGGAAGAGATGTAATGAAGAATACAAATAACAGTATACATAAGTGTACATTTTAAATGTAAATATGAATATGAACCTGAAAACTAGAATTTTAAAAAATATTTAAATACAGTTGAGAAGAAAGGGGTTCTTTTTGGCTTTAATGTGGATGGAGGCAAAGGTTTTATTTTAAATAATGCAAGTGTTACAGAAGTAAAAATCGTAACAGAAATATATACTTACCATGTAAAAATATGTATAACAATATACAAATAAATTTAAGTTTTAGGGATATATGCAATATGGAATAGAAATGTATTTATAAAAAGAAATGTATAAATGGACAGTGTACATCAATATACATTGTAAATAGAAATGTGAATATTAATAGGAAAAAACTTTTTAAAAAATATTTAAATATTTTTTAAAAGAAATAGTTGTTTTTTTGGGTTTTTTTTGTGTGTTGTGTTTTGTTTTGTCTTTTATCCTTTTAGATTAGAGGCAGAAGTTTATTTTTCCTCTTCCCCGTTGTTTTGGGGCATTTATTTCAGAGCAGTTTTCGGCGGGGGCCGCCCCTGTTCTTTTTCGCCGCCTTCCCTGCCCGCAGCCCCGAGGCGCGCTGCGCCCCCGGCTGGGGCGTGCGGCAGTGCTGCCGCCTTGTGGGCAGAGCGCTGTACTGCAGCCCTGCACCGAGAGGCCGCCACCTTGGGAGTGGCGCGTCGTGGATGTCGCGGACTTTTAATTGACCTTCTCATCATGGCGGCGAAAAGGGCGGGGAAGTGGAGGACCGGGGTTGGTCTAAGTGGACTGCCTGCACAGAATACTGACGTCATGGCGGCTCCGACGGATTTTTCTGCGGCGTTTCATGTGTACCCGACACACGGTGTGGGCTCAGCGGCGCCGCGGGCGGGGTAGTTTGGCGGGTTTGTGCCAGGCATGTGGGTTAAACGCCTCGCTGTGCCGGGGTCCTCTGACGGCCGCTTTCGCGCCCTGAGGGAGCCGAGCCGGGCCGAATTGTTCCGAAGAGCCGAAGAGCCGAGTGTGGCCGAAAACAGCCGAGTTTACCCGAAGAGCCGAGGGTGGCCGAAAACAGCCGACTTGAACCGAAGAGCCCAGGGCGGCCCAAAATCGCCCAGTTTACACCAAGAGACCATGATAGCCAACTGGAACCGATAGCCGAGTGTAGCCGACACTGGCCGCATTTAGACAATGTGCCCAATATGACCGAGTTTAGTCGAACCGTGCCGAGTTCGGCCGAAGAGCCGTACTGAAACGAGTTTAGACCAAGAGCCGAACCAAGCCGAATTCAGCCGAGTTTCATTAAACAGAACCGAACAACGCCGCAGGGCTCTGCCTGCAGTGCGCCTGTGCAGGCGGCAGGGATTGCTGTGCCTGCAGTGCTCCGAGGCAGACGGCAGGGGGCGCTGTCCCTGCAGTGCGCCTGTGCAGACGGCAGGGATCGCTGTGCCTGCAGTGCTCCGGGACAGACGGCAGGGGGCGCTGTATAAAGTAAGTAGACAATATCAACTCTCTATAAGAAGGAATAAAAGCTCTATGTCACGTGCAGCAGTAGAAAATTTCAGGCTCCCAGGGAATAAATAGTTTTCTTTAAATCCTTTTCGTTCTGGAGTTTTTTTTTTTACTCCCAGGTAGCCTGATAGTTTCTACTGCTGTTTTTTTATTCTAAAGCTAGAAAGGTAAACCAAGATCAGAAATACAAGAAAGGGAAAGGGAAAGGGAAGGGAAGGGAAAGGAAAGGAAAGGAAAGGAAAGGAAAGGAAAGGAAAGGAAAGGAAAGGAAAGGAAAGGAAGCAGGAGAGCAAGAGGGAAGGGAAGGGGTGAAAAACAGAGTGAAAAAAGAAAAAAGAGTTGGAGGGGGAAAGAGAAGGCATTCGGAAGGAGCGGTGCTGCCGCAGGTCCTTCCCCGCCCAGGGGTGAAGGTCCCGTGTGATGCCCGGGAGGTTCTGCAGCTCCCGGCGGCGGGGGACGGAGCCGTGGCTGTCAGCCCGAGACTACAACTCCCGGCAGGCCTTGCTGCCGGCGCGGCGCGTGACGCAACGGCTGACGCGGCACATGAGTGGCTGGCGGGCCAGGCGGCCGCGCGGGGCTGTGCGCGGGCCGCTCCCGGCGCCTCTCCCGCGCGTGACGGCGACGCTGGACGGGCGAAGCCTCCGTCCGGCCGCCCGCACGGCGCCGAGCAGCGCGGAAGGAGCGTCCGCGGGGTTCCTCGGCCTCACTCGGCGGTGCCGGGGGCGGGGGGCGGGGCGGTGCTTTGCTGCCGCGGGCCGGGAGCTGCAGGAGCCGCCCCGGGCGAGCACGGCGAGCACCTGTGAGTGTTTTTTTTTTCCTCTAAATCGGGAGTAAATATAGCTGAGTAAAATTAGCTTGGTTTTCTTCCTTCTTTTTTAACTGAATTGTTTTTATTAAAAATCCTATTTGAATGTGTAGAAAAAGTGGGGATGTCCTGTAATATATTGTAGCTTTTCTTGTTTACAGGGTACTCAGAAAATACGTCTCCCTTAGAGTCCCACAGAAAGGTTCTCAGTGCAATCTCTGTCAAGGTATGTATTTCCAAAGAAGTGATCCCTTTAGATATTTGCCTGTGTACCTTTTCCTGTTATTCAGAGCTTGCCTTCTGTGGGTTTTATGATAAACCTGTAAAACCGGTTTTGCAAGTCTTAATCGTTGAAGGCAGCATAGAGCCTGTTCTTGACCAGACAAAGGGAAAAAGTGTGACTTTGAGGCTGAACTTGTCATTTTTCATTTGACTTGTCTTGAATTATTTAAGAATAGAGAGAACTAGAAAAAGAGAGAAATAGAATTGGTTATTGAGCACTCCCCAAATGCTCACCATGATTCAGTGTAGAGCCACAGGGCAGGGTGATGGAAAGGGCTCTATGCTTTAGAAGGAAATAAATTTAAACCTGACCTCCACAGAGTCTCACTAACTTCTGTTGTTTGAAAATACAAAATACGTTCAGGAAGTGTTGGAAGTTAGTATTTTGGGAAAGAAATGGCAGTTCCACAGAACATTCCATTTAACAGTAAATTGGAGGAGAGCCCAAGAGAAATTTTTCATCCCTTGATAGAAAAGGTAGGAAGTGACTTTTTTTGGTTTGGTTCTTTTTTCTTTATTATTTTCTGGAAATAAAAGTAATTAAGTATAGGTACTACTGGTCTGTTTCTTCCAGTAACAGGTGATAATAATAGTAGTAGTAATAATAAAAATAATAATAGAAATAATAATAACAGTAATGTAATACTAGTTAAACAGTCTTTATCCATTGAACTGGCCATTTCAAATCAAAACTTCTAAACACAAATCAAACCATCATCCTTGTAGAATCTTTCACAGCAGTGGGCTAAAGATCCTGGTTTTGTTGACAGGATTTATTGGTTCTGGAAGAACAAGAGGGAAGTAGAAGCCTAACTACTTCTAGCTCACAGACCTGTCCAGTGAACAGAGCTTTGTATTTTGATGGGCTTGTGATGACTTTGAAATCAATTGGTCATTACAGTAAAAAAAATTAATGTTTTTTTGAACGTGACAGCAGAAATAACTTTAAGCACCAACTTAATAATAATAGATCACCAATTTAAGTTAAAAATTCATGCTATACTATCAAAATTTAAAGGTAAGTGATTATGTATTAGGTGATGGTATAAAGTGTATGTTCTAATGTGTAGGATGTATGCAAAGATACATACATACCTGAAAGTCCTTAGAGGAAACAAATTTTTATGTTTGCTGTCTGACTGTTTATCATACAATATTTGGTTTTATTTCGCAGGGATCGGTGAATTTTAACTTTGGAGTCCTCTATGCTAAGGATGCTCAGCCTGCAGATGATGAAATGTTCAGTAATGGTGAGTTTTTCACTTTCTCTTTAATTGCTATGCTGATCTGAATAAGAAAAAAACAAAAACAAGAGAAAAAAAAAGGATGGTTTATTATTTTTTACACTGTTATGTTTGTTTCCTCAGTATTTGCTGCAGCTCTGCTTACCCAAGCTTTGGGTTCCTTCTGTCCCACAGGGAGTTGCCCTGTTTGGTTGCATCTGGTGAAATTCACCCTGAGACCTTACAGAAGTAGCTCAAACTACGTGAGAGCCATTTGCAGTTCCCTCCACACACCTGGAGAATGGGTGACGTTTCTGAGGATGTGGCAACTGTACTTCTATCAAAACTCAGTCTGTGAAATTTCTGGGGAAAACTCTTCGGTGACCTGAAGGGTTCAAACTCTGGTGAGAATCCAGTTATCAGGTGCTCACCTGGATGGTTCCAGCTCTTAAAGTGAACACTTGTACTCTTGCCCTGTAGTTTACATCCATTGTATTTTTGTTATTTTGCAAGATTTTATGTCTTTGCAAAATATCGTGCATTTCGCTCTTTGGAACCTCTCAGATTGTTCTTTGGTGTAGCACCACCTCACGGGACACTTGGCTGCCGTCCTGAAGGGGATGCTCGCTAGAATTGTAAATTCTGGAGAGTTTGTAAGTCTTCTGTCCCCAGGGAGCTATCATGCTTTGTTTACTTTTGTTCTGTTGGTTAGGCGCTGCTTCTCATTGCAAGTATGAATTTCAAACTACCCTGTTCTCTTTTTAACTGTTTTCCTGGTTCTCTCCGTACGGCAGGGAAAGACTCTCGTATCCTTGTCTTCAGGCTCGGTGCTGTCCACGAAGATACGGAGACTAAAAAAATCATAAGAAGCAAAATATGACTGCAGGGAAAACAAGCTGGAGAGAACAAAAGGTGATATTGTTATCCTTACCCTGTATTAGAAACATCCAATGTGCTTTGATGCTGGCAGCTGCCAGGGGCTTGTTAGCTCTTTGTAGGCAGGTGTAGGTGTTCGCTTGTAGGTTTTTTCTCTGGACAAGTCAATTCAAACTTTGCTAAGCTTATATTTGCAGATTACTCTCTAGCACAGTCCAGCATGACATTTTTGAATGCTGTAAAAAAAACATGTTACTTGGAAATTGCTAATGATGAGAAGCTATAGGGGAAAATAAGATTTCAGGGTTGGGAGACGTGAGAAGAATTTTGTGGGGATGTTAGACTGAAGTAAAGCACACTTTAGGCTGGACTGGCACGCTGGCAGGTCCCCTATTAAACAGTAGTGCTTAGATTAGCCTGGGGGTTGCCCATTGTTTCTGTAGAAATCAGTGTTTCCTGGTCTTCAGAAGTAAGCTGCTTTGAAAAGCTGGAAGGTGCAGCATGGTGACAATCCGTGTGCTCTGGATTAAAAGTAGATTTCAGAAGGGTCCTAGGCTTTTGTCTTTTCCTAGAAGCCGATGTAATCCTATTGAGGAGTTTTTAATTCTGTGCTGCCACGTCATCGGTCAGGGCCCTGTTGTACTAATCATCATACAGATACAAAACAAAAAATCGGACCCCGTCCCAACCACTTAGAGCCCAGAACACGATTTCCTCGGGCTGCCATTTGTGTGCCATCGGCACTCACCATGGAAGCGAGCTGGGGATTGTTGCAGCTGCTGGGAACAAACCGCTCCTCGTCACACAGGAACGGAACTGGGACGACGCCTCGGCCAGCCCCTCTCTGCCATCGTCTCCTGAATCTGCAGCAGAGCAGTTCCGGTCCATCCGGGCACGTGTAATCCAGTTCCTGATGATCTGAGCGCACGGAGCAGCGCTCCGCTGCTGTGGGGGGCTCAGGGAAGGCAGAGTGTGCATTGTCATCTTCCTGAACCTGCAGACGAATCCAAGTGAGAAGCCACAGGGTGGAAATCAGTCGCATATATGCTAAACGAAACTTGCAGGTTTTTTTTAAGAATTGTTTCTGCTTGTTCTTTTTTGTGCTTCAGTGCTTCGAAAACCTCTCTTTAAAATCAGTTCAATTCATCAGTTGAACCTTTGTTTGCAGACCCTCAGTGAGCAGAATTTGTTGCAGACTCAGTGCACGCTGTGCCGGCCTCCCGGGAGTGTGAGGGGCTCACGTGTGCTACTTTTTGCTTTAGGACGCTCTGAGGTATTTATTCCTTTTGGGATACATGACGAGAATTGCCAAGAGAGGTAGTTACAAGGTATGACATGAGGAAAAAGCCTGTCTGGTTGGAACGTTGTTGCTGTCAAAAGTTAATTTTTCCTTCTTTCTTAGCCAGTAGTTAGCTTTTTGCTTAATTTTTGTGGTATCATTATTTTATTGTTTAAAAAATGGCTTCAAAATCACTTTGGTGGTTGGTGTTGGCCACCAGTACCTTGTTCAGATTTGCCTATTTGCTTGTAGCTAAAATGTTCGCATCCTGTTTATCATTCTATTTAAGAAACTGCTGCCCAGCCAACTAATAACTGAATATCCATCTGTCTGGGACACGGGGAGAGGATTTAGGTAACGTCTTTGTTCCCAGGAAAAGGTTCCAGTGTAGTTTCTAAATAGAGGAGAAGGGGATGAAGACGCGGGGCTCTGATGCCGTATGGGCACCCCAAGGTCCCCAGGAGCGGGAGCCCCGCTGCAGTGCAGGAGCAGGTATGTTCTCATGTAATACTGAACAAATTATAAATATAAATATGACAATTTAAGCATGAAAATATTTTTAAAAATAGTTAAACAAAGTGGGTTTTTTCATTTGTCAATAGGCAGTGTTTTGATTGTAAAAATTATAACTACAAATAATATAAAGGGAGAAATCTAAGTATAGAAATATAAATATATACAGATATATATAAAATTTAAACCTATAAGAAAAAATTAGTTGTAGCAGTAGATGTGATACCTAATATAAATAATAACTTAGATACTTTCCTAGAATTTTATATATATTATATATAATTATGAATATAATGCATCAAAAGAAACTATAAATATAAATGTGAATATAATTATACAAAAGTATAAAAATATTTCAATATCGTTCAAAAGAAGGCTTTTTTTGTGTTTATTTGGTTAGAGACAGGGGTTTTATTTGGAATCATAGAAGTAGCAATCTAAATATAGAAATATACAGTCAATAAAGAAAGGTATTTATAAGAACACGACTGAACGACGCCGCCTTCAGCCGAATGGAACGAGCTCAGCCGAACCAAGGCGAGACCGGCCGAACCTGACGGGCTCGAGCGAACCGAGGCCAGGCTTGCGAGGCTGCCTGAACGGAGCCGAGCTCGGCCGAACCGAGCCCGCCGCTCTCGTGCGCGCTAATTAGCGCGAGTGCTAATTAGCACAGCCCAATGAGCTCCTGTGCCACCCCGCGCTCCCGGTCGTGTCGGTACGAAGGCCGGGCCGCCCGCGTGACGCGGCAGCAGGAGAGCCCCGAGCCGGGCGAGTTTAACGTGAGGCGGCGCCGCTTGCCCGCCCTCGGGGAGGCGAGCCGAGCCGACCTCAGCCGAACGCGCAGAGAGCGGCTCCGAGTTCGGCCGAAGCGAGCCGGAGGGACGAATGGAGCCGAATGCGGCCGTCAATAGCCGAGTTTAGCCGACAATAGCCGAGTTTAGCCGACAATAGCCGAGTTTAGCCGAAGAGCCGACTGGAGCCGAGTGACTCCGGAGCGAGCCGAGCTCCCCCGAGCGCAGCCTCCCGGGCAGGGCGAGGCGCCGGGCCGGGCTCGGGGTGCAGCCGGGGCTCTGTGAGGCTTCCCCGCCTGTCCCTCTCTCTCGCCCTCCTTCCTTCTCCCCGTATTCGCCTTCTCTCGCTCCCTTTCCCCCATTCCCTCTCCCCCCACAAGCCCGGCTCCTTCCTGTCCAGCCCCTTCCCCGCTACTCCCTTTCTCTTCCCCGTTTCTGCCTCCTCTGTCCACCCTCCCTCTACCCCCCTCCCGGGCTTTCCCTTCCCGTCCCGCTTTCCTGCACAGCCCGCCCTCCCTCGCCGCCCTTTGTCATGCCCTGCTCTCGCTCCTCTCTTCCGGTGCCCGCTTTCCTTCTTTGCCGCGCAGCCGCGGGGCTCGGGGTGCCGGAGAATGAAGGCCCGAGGGTATGGGGGTTCATCCGTGGTGCTGTTAACACAGTCAGAATGGCTCAGTGACTCTGTGCCAGGCTGGTGTGGCCTCAAAGGCTGCCCCTGCTGCTGGCAGAGTGTGTGAAGCGTCTGCTGAGCGGGCAGCGGCATCCCCCTGAACACCTTCTCGCAGCAGGGACGGAGATGGAGCCAGCCCAGCGCGTGGAAATGGATCTCTCCAGCTGAACGCTCAGGTGAAGCGAGCAGAGAACTTGCCCAGCATGAACCAGGTGAGCTGCACGTCTCCAGGGTAATGGTTCTTGCACCTTCAGAGCCACAGTATCGCTGAGCTTTTTTTTTCCCCAGGCTTTCCATCACCTCTCAAACAGACGAATGCTCCCCTTGGAGGCTGCTGTGCCCTGGGGAGCCTGGCAGGTGGCCCCGTTGGTGAGAGGAGGGCAGCAGGCAGGCAGCCCCCAGGAAAACACGGGAGTTTCAGTGGTTTCTGATGCCTGAGGAACGGGGAGATGGCGTGAGCTGAGCAGGAGTTAAGCACGGTCGTACAGAGGCCTGGCTGTTATGATTTAAGATGGCTTATTGAATATCTGTAGTTTCTATAGATATTTGTATATCTGTCCAAGTAGGATATAGAGCCTTGTGCAGGAGAAAAAGAACTCTTGATGTAAGATATGACCTGGGGGAGGCATCATGCCAGGCTATCCCTTCCAGATTTGGACGGCTTCAGTGTCTTGTGTGGCATGATGGGAAGTTCTGAAAATTAAGATTTCCTCTTTGGTGCGGGTCAGATGGGTGACGCCTGGCAGCTCGTGCACTGCCACTGTGCTAACCTGTGTGCCTCTCCTTCCCTCCCTGCTCCACAGGCAGCGCAACACGGGAGCAGCAGGGAGAGCTGGCTTTGTCCTGGAAGATCCAGGAGCTCGCGGTGGATATCTGAGCCTGCAGCTCCAGGCTGCCGCACGACGCAAGGGCTGCACACACCCAGAGCGTACAGGTACTGTCACAAACGTGGGCTGTCGTGGCTGAGCCCTCAGGAGCTGGCGGTGCCAGCTGGGAGAAGAACAGTAGCTTCCAGCCTTTTCTTTTGTCTGCGTTTCCCGTGTTCAGTCAGTCTGATTACTTCTGGGCATTGCCCAGCAGGGTGTGAAATGCTTCCAGGGCTAAAGGGGGAAAAAAAGGGAAACACAAACTATAATCCACACCTCAGGAGGGAGAAGGCATCTGTCAGGACAAACTCTTAAGAGAAATGGGATGAAGAATACTTGTTTATTCGGTCTTTGGTATGTGTAGCTAGTTCAAAGAGGTCTCCCAGTCCTTCCCATTAGCAGAGCAAAGGAAGAGCAGCAAAGCCCTCAGGCTAAGCCATTAAAAGCAGCAGCAGCAGCTTTGTGTGCTGGAGTGTGGCAGGCATTCCTAGGTTTACTTTTTGGTTTTGCATCTAGCAGTGGTAGAGGAAAGTTCTTTGCAAGGTGATAGTTCCAGCCTTGTATTGAAATGTGAGCAAAGAGGAACTTTCTCAGTTGGATTGGGGTTTATTCACAGCACTTGTAAACAGAGTTAACATTCAGATAACATGTGCAGGGAGTGTGTGCTGTGGGTTAGCACAAGTGACAAAGGAAGTGGGACAGGGACAGGGCACTTTCCCCTTCAAGGTACTGGTTTTTTTTCTGGAAGAATGACGTGAGAGCAGAAAAGTTGCAATGGCATTGCAGTTCCCTGCACAGAATATACCCAGGGAGGTGAAGCACAGCCCAGTGGTGCCATTCACCTGCGCCCCAATGGGGAGCATCAGTGAAGTGAGGAGGACTGAGGAGCTCTCCCCTTGAGCAATCACAACAGTCATGTCAACGAGTGTCACCCTTTTCCAGACCACTGGCATGTGCTTGGGGACAATAACCTGTGTTTTTTACAGCCAGGTCTTCTGAGCCGCTGCTCACTGCTCGCAGTGAAAAGAAACTTGTGTACAGGCACTCTGCAAAATTGCCACCTCAGATGCCACTGAAGCACAGCTTTGGCTTTCAGGCATCTCCCCTGCAAGCTGTCCCTTGCGGCGTTTCCGCACTGGGTTCATTGTAAATTCATTCCTCCCATTTTTTATTTGTAATTTCCAAAGAATATCAGTCGACTTTTACGGCCTCTTCAGGGCTCCCCAAGCTTCATACCACACCTAAATGCTCGTTTTCACTGCCTGAAGGGCTTCTCTCACCCGAGTGATTCTATGAATTTGGCCTGTACTTCAGCTTAAGGGGAAAGCTGTACATTGATTGCATTTTGGAGAAAAAGATTTGACCGTCCAGCTGTAAATTTATCTTGTGTTTTGCCTTCCAGGTTCGCTCGTATTGTAATTTGCAAATGGCACGGCAAATGCCACGAGAGCAGCTGGTGAAGGTGGCTCAGAAGCAATGACAAGAATGTGCTGCAAAGTTGGGTCCAGCAGTCCAGCTTCCCGACACGGTAGGGCAGGCACACCTTTTGATAAAGCATCAAACGCTGTAGTTTTTATTCTTGGTGTTTGTCTGTGCTCCCATTCTGATCACCCCTTGAAGTATTATTTTTCAAAATGATATCTAGGAGAGAAATCATGTTTATTCAGGGGGAGCCATAATTTTCATCTGTTCCAAATGCACCAGGTGTGTTTTAAGGCCTGCACACACAGCAAGAGCTGCAGAGCTTGTTGTGCAGTTTCCTGCAGCACTGATTCATTCTGTATTCCAGTAACCATGCCCTGGGCTGCCAGCCAGGCTCAATGCCAGGAGCGGGAGGAGTAGACCCGAGAGGTGCTTTGGGTGGAGCCCAGCCAGGTTTCAGGCAGCCCGCAGAGTCTGCCCTTGCAGTCCACGCCGGTCTGCTGTTGCCATCTGCTGGAAAAATCCCTAATGGATATTTCCAAAGGTGGGGAGGAGCATCCGCTCCTGTCACAGACCTGCTGGGGGCTCTTTGCCCTCTGGCTCCGTGCGCTCTGCCCAAGAACAGCGTGTGCAGCAGGCTGTCACCGCTCTCTGCAGGGTGAAGCACCTTCAGCCAAGGTCAGTGCAAGAGCAAAACAATCCTGCCAGTAAAGCCTGCTACTAGAGAGGCAAACAATGATCCTTCCAAAGGAATTCATCCTTCTTCTCCCTTACAACTCTCCTGTGTCATCACACCGCAGAATGGTTTGGGGTGGAAGAGATGTTGAAAACGACCTAGTTCCACCCCTGTCCTGGGCAGGCTCACCTTCCTCTGGGCCAGGGTGCTGTGCTGTCGCAGATCAGGTGGCAGATCTGTGGAAATTGTAATGATATTATTAAGGCGTGTCTCTTATTGCCTTGCCATTCGTGAATCCCGAGGCTGTCTTGTCCTAGTTTAGCTTTCTGATGTGGAGGAGCAGAACTGCCAACTGATATGGAATTTGGTGCTCTCTGTGGAGTGACATCCTGTAAAATTTCTGTCCCAGGAATGCTGTCACGATGGCTCTGCTCCATAGAGAATGACACGGCCTGATTGTCAGCAATTTTTGCTTCTGCAATAGTGTAAAAATGCTAAAATTTGAACACGGCTTATTATTTCAAAAGAGAATATTTTAAAACTGGAAGAGATAGCTGAAATTACACCTGAAAGGTAGCAAGAGCAAATACATAGAATATTTCTCCCTGTTTGTAGATATACTTTTCATTCAAAATTATGCTGATGGGGATATGCTTTTATGTATTTAGTGACTTTACAGATTTATTCCCCGAGTTTTTTGAGTTCATGGAATCATGGAATAATTCAGGTTGGAAGGGGCTCTAAAGATCACCTCGTTCCAAGCCTGGTGCCGTGGGCAAGGACACGGTTCCATGGACCAGGTTGCTCTGAGCCTGATCCCAGAGCACCAATGGGCCTTGGAACACTTCCAGGGATGGGGCAGCCCCAGCATGTGTGAGCAACCTGTGCCAGGCAGGTGCCAGAGGAAGAAGAAAGCCCTTCCCAGCTGGAGCAGAGGCTGCTGCAGCTTGGCGCAGCCTCGTGTCACCGAGCGTGTGAGACAAAAGGGCCCTTCCCGTGGAGGGAGAACGGCACTGAAAGATCTTTTTTGGGAGGAGCGGAGCCATGGAATGCCAAAGCAGCCTTCAGTTCTTGCAGCAGAGTTGGGAACAACTGGAAGCAGGAGCAGAGCTGGCCTGGTGCCTGGCAGCTCTGCAGGCAGTGGGGATGGAGAAGGTGCAGTTGTCTGTCTTCTTGGCTGAGTCTTGAAAAATGAGGCACTTTTCTGTAGTTCCTTTTCAAGCATTACGTGGCAGTTGCCCCTAGAAGTCCAAAGGCAGCTGTTTTCTTAGCAGGAAGAAGTCAGGAAGAGGCAAAGCAGGCAAAGACATCAGATAAGTCTGGATAAAAATCTTGGCTAAGCTGTTTTTTCCCCCTCCTCCAAACAGGCAATTCTGAAGCGCTGAGCAGAGATCTGCCCCCGGGAGGCAGAGCAGAGCCGCTCTGTGAGAGCTGACACGGGAGCTGTGGTGAGGACAGCTACTCCCCTGCCTCGGTGTGGGACCTGCTGAGCTGCCGTTCCTGTGCTGGGAGTGTTTCTCCTCTCATGCAGGCAAACCAGAGAGCTCCTAGGGAAGGAGCAGGTAAGGTTGAAGTGCCGAGATCTCCCCGGTAAGAAGTGCCGTGACAAAAGGAAATGGCCTCAAGTTGCAGCAGGGAAGGCTCAGATTGGCTTTGAGGACCAATTTGTTCACTGAAAGGGTGGTCAGGCATAGGAGCGGGCTGCCCAGGGCAGTCCTCATTGCTGGAGACATTTGAAGCATGGCAAGATGTGGTGTTTAGGGACCTGATTTGGGTGGGGGCTTGGCAGTGCTGGGGCAGCAGCTGGGCTCAATGGCCTTAGCAGGCTTTTGCAGCCTAAAGGATGCTATGGTTCTGGAAAGCCTCGACCCCTCTGGCTCCGACACCACACCTGGATGCTGACGGAAGGAGGCTGGTCATGGAGCCTGGAGGTGCCTGTGCCACAGGGAGGGAGAGGACAAGGCAGCGTCACCTGCAGGGAGGGTCTCGTCCCCAGAGAGCGGCCAGTGACTCCATCCATGCCCGGGGCTCTGGGTGCACCCTCGGGGTGGACACCTGCCCTCAGGTTTCCCTCTGGGCACCCGGGGAGGGAACCGGGTCCATCCGTGTGGCAGCTCCAGGGCCTGCAGGCTCTGGGGCCCTGCAGCCGTGCGCCCTGTCACAGGGCGGCAGGGACGTGACGCTGCCCGGCCGCGCCGCTGGCCTGGGATCCTTGCTGCTTTCCTCCCGATCCCACATGGCTGTAGCAGCAATCTTGTGTCTTTTCTTTAAAAGTGTCCTTGGGAGAGTTCAAAGAGAGGGTAATTAGTTATGTCAAAGCCTACATATTTGACCTGTTGGCACTCAAGAGAAAAGACAAGAACCTGCTTGGCATCCTTGTGCCTGGAAGTCATTGTGACCCAGGGAAGTGAGGAAGGGGCTGGCCGAGGTCACTGAGGCTCTGAGATGGAGGTGAGTTTGCATTCCAGTTGATTGGAACGGAGGCTCATCAGAAGTTTCCTCGGCTATCCAAGGCACAGAGCCCTGGAGGCAAGTGAGCCTGAGCTGCTGCACGCTTGCTGTGAGCTTTGGGGTGAGGGTGCATCGTTGCAGGCCTGGGATGGATTGAAATGCGCTGAGGAAAGCAGCGGGAGGGAGGGAGGGAAATGCTCTGTTAGCTTGTGCCAATTCTTCTGTCAGACTCATCACGGCGGGACAGCGTGAAGACTGAAAGTGTGAGAAGATGTGGAGGGGAAGAGAGAATCTGACGGGAGCAGCGAACGCACGAGTGCACGAATTTTGCTTTTTGCTTGTGTTATGGTTTAAGGCCTGGCAAAGCCAAGGCCCCCATAAATATACCTTTTACCTGATATCTGCTGTGAGATGTGGCCAGGAAATAAGCAAAGCAGGCTCCAACTTAAACATAAAGAGAAGTTTATTAACTAAACTACACACACAATTACTAAACTACACACACAATTACTAACCTACACACACACAGGGAAAAAAACAAGGAGAATGAGAACTACACAGAAACACTTCCTTATCCTCCTCCCACCAAATTCCCAAACACATTTACATTTCCCAAAAAATTATCCACACTCGGTCTGGCACCACCCTTTGGAAAAAAAAATCAAATCTTCAGCTCATAAGGGATAGACGGAGTCCTTCCTTGTGCCACGGACTTCTTGTCACAATCAGCAATCCGCCCGGTATCTTGCTACCTCGTGACATCTCCTTTCCATGCCGAGGTGCTCTCACCACCTGGCATGGGATGGGGCAGGGGCCTGCCTTCAGGGCCTTTTAAGAATGCCTCGTCTCGTTCCAAGCAGAGTACAGTCACAATCCTGGGACCTCTGTCCCCCCCATGTCTTCTATACCCCCTGGGGCCGAGGGGTCTCAAAACCAAACTCTCTTGACGCCGAGCCTCCGCTTCCCCCTGCAATACAGCCTCTGCCTCACCAGGAAACAGTCCATGGAAATACAACAAAAAAGAGTCCAGCAAAAACTGCCACTCCATCTTCCTCCATTCCTTCAACATCTCTCTTCTCCCTTTGCCAGACCCTCCTTACTGGCCTAATTTTCTTCCTTCATCTTCCACTCCTGTCCCTTTCCCAGGAAAGGCAATGTTCTGCGAAGCCTTCATTCCCCAAAGGGTTAAAAGGTCTCCCAGGCGGCCGGACTGCCCGCTGCCCCCCCCCCCCCTTTCTCCTCCCAGCCGTGCTGCCTGCCGGCACATGATATCAAGTTTCAAGATATACAGTTCGAGCACGGGCTGCATTCTCTGGGGGGGGAATAAACTGGTCGCTCAAGGGTCTGCCACCCTTCCTCCGAACCCGGGCCTACCGTAGATGGCCCACGTGGCTCTCCCCTCCCCCAGCCCAGCCAGAAACTGGGCCGGGGGAGAGACTTCTTCACGCCGGAAATCCCAAGAGGGCTCCGAAGGCCAAGAGCCCTGCTTTTAACCCCTTGAGTTCGTAGTCTCAAGAGGCGGATCCAAATGTCCCACTGGTCAAACTAAGTGCCCATCTTAAATTCCAATTACCCATTGGTAATCACAGCAAAACAAAATATCCCAGATGTCCCATTTCCGGTCAAACCACGACAGCTTGGATGTAAACTCAGGAGTTGAAAGGAATTTGGGAGTGAGAAGGGACATTTCAGAAGGAGAAGAAGAAAAAGAGGTTGTTGTTGTTGTTACAGTCCTGGCAAAATCTTTTGTTCTAGCTAATAAAAGAAGTTAGTTTAAGAAATAAAAAGAAAAAAATGTAGTGTTTTTTTTTTTACTTGACTATTATATTCATTGGTGGTATATGGTGTGTTGTTTTATTTCTTGGTATTATTAACTCTGTGTAAATTGTTTTTTGAGTGAAGCTGACTTTCTGGATGGGTTGGTTTGTATTTGAGGCAGCATTAATTTCAATAGGATTGTTTCATAGATTTCTGATGGGTATTACTGGGATTTTGGTTTTGTTTGCTGTATGTATAAACATAGAGCTTTGGTAGGGCCAGCTGGGCTGCTGGAGTTTTGGGTGTGAATTTATGAGATGGCTTTTGTTAAATGCAGATTTTAATTTTTGAAATGTTTTTCAATGTAGTGGTTTTAAGGTGGTTTTTAAGAATTCATTGTTTTGTTTTCTGTTGTTTGTAGTTGGTGTATGATAAGGGATGTGGTGTGACTTCTTGAACGCTATGGTTTTAGTGTTCCTAAGTTCTGATTTCTTTCTGGTTCGATAGTTGTTTTTTTTTTTATTTTTTGGGACAGGGGCATTTATATGGTGGGTTTTTATAGGCAATACGTTTTTTAATTTAGGTAGTGATATTTTTTAGTATTTTAATAGTTTAGGTTTTTGATTTTCATGGTTTTAATTATTTTTTTTAATTTTTTCAAATAACTTTTCTAGATGATAGGTTATTATTTGTGCATTAGCATAAAGGTAGAGCTTTGGGGACTTTTTTTAGTAATGTTTAGGGTCAGTTGTACAGTTTTGAGTCTAGTGAGTTGGTTTGATTTAATTTTTACTGGGTGTTTGTTTTTATTAGCAGTTGTGTCATTTTCAAGGTGTATTTGAGTTTTTTGGGGTTTTTGAGATACTGGTTTAGGAGGAAGTTTATGATGAGAATGTGCGGAGGTTTTGGGCTACTTTATAGTGGGGTTTAATATTTATTGACAGTTAGGTTTATTTGAGTTTTTATTAGGGTTCAATGACGTTGTGGGACATTTGTTCCGTTAGTAATAGCAATGGGTTTTGTTTTGATGTGCTGCGATGGGACGAGCATGTGCTGCGTGCCGGTGCTGACAAAGGTACGGTATTGTTGTGGTTCTGGTGCGTGAGGTTAATGAACTTGTATGGTTTAATATAGAGATGAAAATAGAAATAAATATACATTTAAAAATAAATATAACATTAGAGTGGTAGACATAAATATAGATAACAGATACATACATAAAACTATAATGCGTGGTATATAATTGTAATATATTATCATATAGATTAATGATAGTCTGTTATATATATATATACACAAAGATATATAAATATAGATTATAAATATAAAAACATTTAAATAGAGTTAAAATAAATGGGGGGGTGTTATTAGGTTGTAGGCTGGGGTTTTTAAATAAATGATAGAAATAAAATATCAATTCAGATATACAAATATATTTATTTAAATTAAATATTTATAGAGATTTGTATTTGTATATATAAGTAAAAAAAATATAATACAGAAAATACATATCTATTATATTAGAAGGTATTCTCTCTAATATATATAATATCTATGAATATAATAAATAAAAATATCTATATAAATATCATTATAATTTTGAAAAATAAATTTACCTGCTACATTTTAAATCTGGTTCACATAAAGGGGTGTCCTTGGTTTTTATTTGGTTAGAGGCAGGAGTTTTATTTGAAATAATGTAAGTAATATAGAAATGTGGATCTTAAGATAGAAATATATAATAAATATATAAAGAGAAATTGCTAAAGTATTAATACAAATTTATATATAAATATATGGAAGTAATATGAAGAGTTGTAGTATAGAATATAAATAATATTATATGGCAATATAAATTATAAATGGGAATATAAATATAAAAATATGTAAATATAGCTTAAAAAAAAGGGAATGTTTTGGCTTTTATTTAAGTAGAGGCAGGGGGGTTTTTTTGAATATTGTAAGTGTTACAGAAGTAAAAATCTTGACGCAGAAATATATAATCAATGTATAAAAATATGTATAAAAATTCATAAATAACTACTCGCATCAGATGTAATATAGAATATAAATTTGTTTATAACTTGACATTGATAAGGATAAATGTATAAGTAAGCAATAGACATTAATATACATGATAAATACAAATATGAATATAAAAATCAGACATAAGGATAAAACCTATTTAAATATTGTTTAAATGAAAGGGTTGGGGTCTTTTTTATTATTGGGTTTGAGGCAGGGTTTTTATTTTAAATAATATGAATGTAGATATTATTGTTATATATTTCTAAATATTGAGATATACAATCAAGATCTAAATATATATATAAACACAAAATATTAGCAAATAGAAATAATAGGAAGAGATGTAATGGAGAATACAAATAAGAGTATACGTTAGTATACATTTTAAATGTAAATGTGAATATGAACCTGAAAAATAGAGTTTTAAAAAATATTTAAATACAGTTGAGAAGACTGGGGTTCTTTTTGGCTTTAATGTGGGTAGAGGCAGGGGTTTTATTTTAAATAATGTAAGTGTTGCAGATGTAAAAATCCTAACACAGAAAGATATAATAAATATATAAACATATGAATAAAAGTATATAAAAAATATAAGTAATAGGAACACATGTAACATAGAATATAAATTATAACTAAATCGCTAAATAGAAATGCAAAATCGATCATACATCAGTAAACATTTTAAATACAAATTTGAAAAATATTTTTTTTAAGATTTTTAATACAGTTGAAATGAAAGGGGGTTTTATTTGCCATGTATGGGGTAGAGGCAGGGGTTTTGAGTACTGTAAGTGTTACAGAAGTAAAAATCCGAACAGAAATATATACTTACTATGTAAAAATATGTATAAAAATATACAAATAAATTTAAGTTTTAGGGATATATGCAATATGGAATAGAAATGTATTCATAAAAACAAATGTATAAATGGACAGTATACATCAATATACATTATTGATAGAAATGTGAATATTAAAAGGAAAAAAACCTTTTTTTAAATTTTTAATTTTCTTTTTTTTAAGAAATTGTTGTGGTTTTGTTTTGTTTTTTTTTATCCTATTAGATTAGAGGCAGAAGTTTATTTTTCCTCTTCGCGGTTGTTTTGGGGCATTTATTTCAGAGCAGTTTTCGGCGGGGGCCGCCCCTGTTCTTTTTCGCCGCCTTCCCTGCCCGCAGCCCCGAGGCGCGCTGCGCCCCCGGCTGGGGCGTGCGGCAGTGCTGCCGCCTTGTGGGCAGAGCGCGGTACTGCAGCCCTGCACCGAGAAGCCGCCACCTTGGGAGTGGCGCATCGCGGATGTCGCGGACTTTTAATTGACCTTCTCATCATGGCGGCGAAAAGGGCGGGGAAGTGGAGGACCGGGGTTGGTCTAAGTGGACTGCCTGCATGGAATACCGACGCCGGCGCGGCCCCGGTGGTATTTTCTGTGGCATTTCAAGTGTACCCGATACGGGCCGCGGGCTCAGCGGCGCCGCGGGCAGGCGTATTTTGGCGGGTTTGTGCCAGGCATGTGGGTTAAACGCCTCGCTGTGCCGGGGTCCTCTGAC